CATCCTTAAAACATTTTAGATGTTTCGTGAATCTTCTAAAAAACGAAAATAGTGATTCGGCGGTAACAGGTTCGGTAACGAGATCACACGTGCTCCGGGACGGAGCTGGAAATTGGATTTTCGTTCAATCACGTCGTCGAGTCTGGAGACTCGTTTTCCTTTGGTCCCTTCATAACTCGAATCGCTGACTAGATTCCGCTATTTTTGCTTACAGACATTTTTGCCAATCGAATCTTTCAATAATTCGTCCCTCTTAAACCACGTGTGGTTTCATTAGACAACTTAGCCGCGAAACTGTTGCGTAAGACTCGCTTTTTTCGTTTCCTCTCTGATTGTTTCGCAATAACCGCGTTTTCCGCGTTACGTGTCAACTTTCGTCGTCCAGCTGGACGCACAATGGTGCGAACTGGAAATTACGCGACAATCGTTTCGGTAGATACGTTTCCGGTTTTGAGCACAATGCAAACAGAGAGAACCGGTGTCAATGACTGGGAGACGCTCCTCTTTTCATTACACCGTATCGAGCTTTGTTTGCTTCTCTAATACGTCTGTGTCCCCCTCGTTGCCCCACAGAATTTCTTCGCTGAAGTTTTACATTATGCTGCAGATTTTATGCATGCGTACAAGGTTTAAATGTGCAGCGTATCAAAATATTTAAATGATCAAGCGAATTCCTATTTAACACATTGCTGACCGGCAACTTTTCTGAAAATTTACCTCATGTGCCCGGCTATTGTTTTGAAAGCGGATGTGGAAGTAAAACAATATAAATAAATTTTAATAAATTTTATTTATTATTCAACTCCTAATATTTCGGTTTCGCTCCGTTTTCCTTTCGAAGAATTTGGTCATCGTTGAAATTTTTTTACAACTAAGAACGAAATTTGGCCGGTCTTATAAGCGATACACAACTTGAGGTATGCAGACCAAATAATTACACTACAAGATTTCCAACAATGCGCCGTGAGAACAATAAAGATGCGGAAAAAAGCTTATCACGAGTTTACTCGTGACCGGTCAGCAATGTGTTAAGTCACATTTTATAAATTGATACCGTAAATGTTTTACTCTGCATAAAAGTCTTATCAGTCTGTACGTCAGACATTTGGGGTACAATAAAAAATAATTAGACGTGAGTGGCTTGAACTTCCAATCGAATTTCAGTACACCGAACGTGTGGCTGTGGCGCGTATAAAATGAAGCGGCGTGTCAGCCGTAAAACCGCACACAGTACGCCGGGTGACACGCATCGCGGTGGATTAAGTCGCGTTCGTTTCGCGCTCGCGTCTCTCGTCCTCCTCCTCTCTGCTTCGAAACCGCGATGCAGCGCGGACCGCGTGCAGTGGCACTCGTTGCATCGCCTCGACCGGACCTACGAACCGTGTCCGAGGCCCACACCCGGTCACGGGTATGGAGCCGATCAAGAGCTGGGAGTTTAGAACGTTGGAGAAGCTGTCCCATCGGAAACTCAGGCGAGAGATGTCGAGGTGGTACGTATTTTGTCCCTTGAGCAGAAAACGTACTCGACTCTCGGTTTCATTGAGCGCGTCGAGAAGTTTACCAGAGGGTTTAACAGGAGGCCAAGTTAACATTCTGTTTCGAATTTAACTGATTACGAAATAATGCGAAAGGTTCGCAGAGTTTCACTAGGTTTTATTTGAAACTCGTGTTTGTAATTGAGTTGCATGAAGAGAGCGTGATCGCTCCCCTTTCGCGATAACACGTTGCACTGTGTACAAGCTCATCTTGCACTTGCGAAATAAGAGCAGCGAGAGCGTCGTGGCTGTTACTGGAAACTGAGGATGCTGATTATCGACCCCACGATTCGTCGCAATTAGCATTGCGATCAATAACCGTCTGTCTGACGAGACGAGTCGCGTTCCTCGACACAACCATCGATTCCCCGTTTCGAAAACCAATATATCGGCCGATTGTGGCTTGAACCTTGCAATAATAGAATGGATATAGCCAATTTGGCTGACGTTCAATCGTCTAATCACTGTCAAGTCGTATTAACTATTAAGATTCAAGATGCTTCGGTTTGTTCTTATACCATTAGTATCATTAATTTATTACCACACTTTATATTACGTAATAAAACGATTTAATAAAGAACGTATAAATAGGATGTTGGTAAACAGAGGAAATCGCAGCTTTGTGAAGATTCTATCTAGTTGCTTTCACTTAGAATGGTTTTAAATATAGAAATCTGTACGTAACAGGTACCTACTCTGTGTTAACCGAAAACCTCTTTCACGAAACCGAAGAAACGAGTGGGTTAAGACTTAAAGCATATATCGTCCCACTCGGTTTAACGCGGATGCTCGTTGGCTCGGAAGATCTCGAGTGTGCTACTTGCGTTCACGCTTCTTTTTCACGGTGTCTCCGACTCGAAGAGCTCCGAGGAAATCGGTTCAATGGCTTCAAGCGCCGGTGAAACCAGTGAATGGGCACTCAAATCCTTGCCCGGCGAATTACATAATTCGCAAGCATTGATTGCGTCCCGTTAATCATCACCGGATCTCCCTTACTTCTTTTTGTTTCACCGTCCTTTTGATTGCAATTTCACTTCAATGCCCATTCGACGAGTGTGAAACCTGTAAAGACTACTTTTTTTTATAACTCGTTGAATGAAAGTTGATTAAAATTATATGACGTGTTCTTTGAATGGAAAAAACTGCAAGGAAATAATAATAATAGACTGCAGATTTTTATACTGATATTTGTGATATCAATTTAAACGGGGAATTCGTTTTATCATCGAAATACTGTGTAATTTTGTTCTTCTGTCTGCCTGGGATATCTCATATTTTCTGCAAATGCATAAATTGCGCAGCGTGTAATAATAACGCTTCTTGCGTTTCTGCAGACCGACGCGATTTCCTCGGCAAACGCGGTGCACGTGTTCGCGTTTCACACGTGCCTGGGCAAACATAGAGACACTGAGAACCAGATGAACTCGCGTTATCCGATCGGCGCCTTTCTACCCTCCGCGTCTTCGGAAAAATAGTGAAAAGTTTCACGGCGGAAAGGAAAGTTTCCTCCGAGAAAGTTCCGACCCATCCCGATATCCGTCCCTTTCAACCACCCTCCTGTCGTGGAATGTACGATATTCTTAAAGCAGAACCGAGGAACAGTTTACGAGATGTCGAATCATGCTTCAAATTTTATCATCTGAACTCTCGTTACGTTTGTATTATAAAATTGTTTAATAATTCGATCAGAATCAGGCGTGAATTAATCATTAATACACGGTTTATAAGATTTTCGTCTTCTGAGTTCCATCCACGTTTTAACGATTCGAAGGTTCGCGACGGTGAATGTTTAATTCCCGGTGCTATCGACCCGCGTGTCTTCCACGCGACTCTGGGAACTCCCTGACGTTTTAATCGCGTCCCGCCGATATTCCATCGCGTCTGTCGAGGAAAATTAAGAGAGGCCCGGAGACGTTCGGTTCACGGCCGCGGCGATTTTAATTAAATCGCGCGGCCCGACTGTTTCTGCCTCTTCTTTAATCTCGCGAGAAGCCTGGCCGAGTCCGCGAACACTACTCGCGATCGATGAATTATTCAGAGAATAAATTATTCATGGCCCGTAGTTACGTTTCACCAGATACGTGCCCGCGCGGAAAAACAGGTGATCTTAGCCAGTCAGTCAGAATCGAAGTCAACGATTTGACTTTAATGAGAACTTCGGATGACAAACTGGCCGAGGAAAAGGTAGCGTCCCCGGGTAATCTGAATTGGGTTAGAAATTCTGTATTCAGCTGCGGTCTCCTTCCTGATTTATCGCACACGTACGGGAACGGGTTTACGTAATATCCTCCGTAATTTTCTCGAGAATAAGGCCTCGTCCTGTTGTTTTAAATTTCAGTCAGGATCTGCTGACGGTATGCAAGGAACTGAATCTGGAGAACTCGGTGGAGGAGTTAATGAGAGAATTAGGGGCGGACGAGCACGGTCGCATTTCCTATCAAGAGTTCCTCAGGTGTCGGTTGGCGCTACGACCGGAAATCGAGGCCCTCAGGTCCGGCAAACACAGAACTAGTCCACACCACACGCATACGCCGGAATACCTGCCCACCAGCAGCGACAACAGCCTCGGTAAGCCATTCTCGAATATTGCTCCCCGGAGAAAAGAATTCTGCTGATACGCGTCTCGCTTTTTCCACGAAAGCCCGCACCGTCAATGAATATTTTTTCAATTCGATCCACGTACTTATCTTTTATCCATTCGCGCCATACAATGTTTCATGTAATGGTCGAAGTAAAACTTAAGAAAGAAATGAGGAAGAAATATTACAGAGTAAAATGTTTCTTTGTTCATATAATTTGTATACTAGTTGAATTTGCATTTCCTAAAGGGAACTTGGACACGAAGCTACGTACAATTATTATGCTGGTGCCAATTTTGTGTAGTTGAAATGTAATAAATTTTGGTATGGATAACACGGTGGGACTCGTGTGTGTTCAGGCACCGTATCTGGCCGGCATGAACGCTGGGAATTCGACAGCGGAGCACGCGATCTCTCACCGGAACCTCATACTCTGCAGAAACTAGTGGAAGCTGCCGCAGGGGGAACTGGAAACATGCTAGACTTGGCAAACAAGGTGAGTCCTGCGATTAAAACAGCTCTTATCATCGATTCGCCAAGCGTTCAATCGGATGCGACGTACTTTCGTTAACACCGTGAATCTATATCTTGTTCTGCGCATCGAAGAATGCCTGCCAGTAAGTTTTCGATCGATGCACTACTAGAACATCGGATGATAAGTTTGAAGAATAAGGACAGAATAATTTTTATTGCAGACGTATTAGTATTTGCTGTTATTTACTAGATGAAAAACATTTTGCCGGGGATGTCATTTGCCGGGACGATTGGGGAATGCCCGGTAAAGGACAGAAGTAAAAAGGAAAAGAATTCAAAGGAACTGAGAGCTAAATAGAAGCGTGGCGCCTGGCGTAAAACTGCCAAGTGCAAATTACCCTTCGTAGACGGTGGAGCGACTAACTTCTCTCGCCGGAAAAACAGTGCCGCTTTCAGTTTCTTCCTCCACCCGTCTGGGTGTCCCCTCTTGTTCTTAATCGGCCAGTTGATACCTCTTTACCTCGATTCCGCGAATCTCCTCGCCAGGTGCAATTAACGCGACCCGCCATTACACGAGTTTCTCGATTTTTCCCTTTGGGATAAACACAAAGAACATTCGACTTAAAATCGTCCTACTTTCCAACTGGATCGATACCGTCTGCGTCACGATGCAGCCTCGCTTTACTTCCTTCACTCTTAAAAACGGGAGCAACTCATTGAATATTATTTGCGTTGTGAAGATTGCATCAGAAAATTGAGAAAATGAATGAACGTTCGACCTCAGTTTACTTTCGTATAATTTGTAAATTCATTTATTCCGCAATTCGATTTCCGTGAACACGCGAAGGTTGTACTCGCGAGGTAAGAGCGGAGATCACGTTAGGGTGAAAAAGGAAATAAAAGTTGATCGAATTCCGAGGTGGAGGAATTATCGCGATCGTGAGGAAGAAGGAAACGATGAACGGCGGAGATGGAGAATGGCACACCGCGTTTACTGCCTATAAATAACCGTTATTACGTGGTGCATTACCGCACCGAAAAAGCGAGAAAGCAAGAGCAAACGTTTAGCCAGCTGCGCTCGTGGAGGTGAACCTCGCGAGATCCCCGAGGCAAGGCAGCTTGAAGTACGTACTCGGTTCTCGAAGAAAGAGATCTCTCTCGATGCTGAAAGAGTAAAATGCGAGATGCATTCTTCAACGACTGGTCGAGCTTCCAAGTTTTTCACTATTAATTCTCGTGAAATTTGAATTACAATCGAATTTACGAAATCGCACGAGTTGAATAATCGTCCATTTCGTTTTATCGCAGACTTTTGCTAAACTTACCAGTGGCAATGGTCTGGGCGTTAACCTGTTACCAGAATTTCCATGCAAATGGAACGTAGAGCCCAGAGGTGTCGACAGACTCCCGGGTAAACGCAACGCTGCCGTTAATTCGGCTTCCTATCTGCTGGAGATCGTACGGAAACGCGTAACAACGCGATCGAAGTCGTGGCGGAAATTAATTCGCCCGCGCACGATTTCGTCGCGAACATATGCTAATTCCAGCTATTTGAAACCAGATAAGGGAACATAGGACGTAAATATTTCGCATTAAACAGAATCGATTCAATTGCCAAATGGATTTTATTTTTTGCGAATTATCGAGGGACGCGGTATCAATCCGAGGGTATAATTCATACGTGCATACACGTACATTCAATTATTAAGAGTTCTTTATTTCATTATTAAGATTTGGAGATTTTTACATTAGACAAGAGTTTTTCATTTATTTTTGTTCCGAACGTGTCGGCAAATACATTTATCCCTGCAGCTGTCGACAGGACATTTTCGTCGAAAGCGTGTATCGATTTCGCGTAAATCCGAGACAAAGCGTTAACCATTCCGTCCTTATCGATTTTACGTAAATCGAAAACACAACGTACATTCGTAATGGAATATACGATTGGTCGGTGAGTGTCAGAAACGTAATTCAATGATCTTCCTTTCTCAAAGGAAGCGGCACGTACCGTTTCGAAAACGATAGACAGAGCTCGCGAGGAACTTGCGGCAAACTACGAAATGCACTTTACCGTCGCGGCGCTAACAAACGACTTGGAAAGCCCGCGGTTTCCGTCGAGCTTTAACCCACCCCGACTAAATCTCCGTCGGTTCTTTTCCTCCCGGCGTGAACGAAAGTTCGCGTCAGTACGAAGCCACGGAATCGATTTCGGGAACTCTTATCCCCAGCGACACTTCGTCACGCCCAGCGAATCTTCATCCTTGGGGATTCTGCCTCTGATGTATCCGGAAGCTCTCGTTGTTGACCCACTTCCTTTTCAACGACTCTTCAGATTTATTTCATTCATTTGTTTTCTTAGCAAACAGTCAGACAGTTCGTTCCGATCTTCCATTCTGTAACATTTACCAACACATTTGCACTGCATAAAAATGATTTTTACATAACAATTCTTCTGCTTAATACTTGATACAATATTTTCTATGATTGATACAATAATTGATACTGTATTTCCTGTCGTATCTTATAGAAGCACTGAGGATCACGAGGAAGAAACTCCGAAGATTTTTTGCCTGCTACCGTTTAGCATACACTGTGAACTATGCCCCCATATGATGCGAGATAAACCGAACATGGCTTATTACAGATTGAATTAAGCAGCACGATTATGGTATGCTTTGTGCCTGTTATCACTGGCCAGCAATACACGGTCCGAGACTCGGATTCGTCCAGGAACAATAGCTTATCGAATGTGTAATCTCGTATCGTACAGGCTGATAACTTTCGCGAGAAACTATTGGGGCCACCAATCGGAAGCTCTTCCCAGGGAAGCTCCCCTCGGACGAGAAGATCTCTTGTTCGTGTCTACGACGATTGTTTGAACGGTTGTTTATAGTAGATGTACGAACTCTTTTTATTCTTCGTAACATTTTTCGTTGCGAACTTTCTAACGCAATCTTTTTGGTCTATCGTCATCGTTCCCACGAGTTTGAAAAGCCTATTTCGTATTCTCCGCGAACTCCAGCTTTCTAACTGACTTGCAATGCAAAGTTCAGTCTCGGGACAGAACGAATTCCCAGCTCACCGTGGCAACCTTCCTAATCCAGCAGGCGGACAGTTTTCCACGTCACGCGCAAATCAATTTGCAACGTTTACACAGCCTAAACGGTATCGATCGTTCCGTCGTCCGCCCGCTGGCTCGATCGGCAATAAAAATCCGTCTCGTTTCATCGAGCAGAGACCAATCTCGCGTTCGAATTTTCTCTCCGGAACGGAGACAGTCGGAGCTTTAGGATGTTTTTCCAGGCAGATCGTTACTTCCCATCGCCCGTCTTCCCCGGATATTTACTTCTGCTGTCCTCTGTCTCGAGAATTTCATCCGAGGCCAGCCGGGAGCGTGTGTTGAACGCTCGAGACGAATTCTTCGAGCCGGCATCGCGTCGCAATAAAGCCCCGAGGCATCGTCGCCACGCAGACGATATATCGACGCACGCGCGAGACTCCATCCTCTCGCAATTAACGAGAATCTTATTTCTTTATTAACGCGTCGTATGCTCTTTACGGCCCGCTTCTCCTTTATAAGAGAGACCAGCCTGACCCTGTACCTCGTAAATTCACTTTTTTTATCCTTGGAGTTCATCGAGATACTCGCATAAATTTATGCATCGAACGACTGCTTCTCAGACATCTGAATTGAATTCCTTCATCATTAGACCGTGGATTTTTGTACAGAATGAAACAGTTCTTAAAATATGCTTTAGAAATTTGAACATTTCTTTTATCGTTTTAACACTGAGGTCGATATTACTTATATTTTCACGTATTATGTGCAGCATTTATAAATCCGATAAAATCCGATGTTCATTATATTTTTTGCGTATTTTTTTACAACGGAATACATTTCAATCAATACCCTCAATCAGAGTCGAATGATAGTATGTGGAATTCGGATTTATTACCCCAAGGGGTGGTTCGGGTCACGGCAAGAGTTAGTGTCCCTACTTCGTTTCCCTCTTTTGCTTGCGGAAGACGGCGTCGCGTTAATTGAGAAATTAGTGAAGTTAATTAAGAAACCACACCCTAGCTGTCCTCCTAATTGAAGAGACCAGCCTGACCCTGTACCTCGTAAATTCACTTTTTTTATCCTTGGAGTTCATCGAGATACTCGCATAAATTTATGCATCGAACGACTGCTTCTCAGACATCTGAATTGAATTCCTTCATCATTAGACCGTGGATTTTTGTACAGAATGAAACAGTTCTTAAAATATGCTTTAGAAATTTGAACATTTCTTTTATCGTTTTAACACTGAGGTCGATATTACTTATATTTTCACGTATTATGTGCAGCATTTATAAATCCGATAAAATCCGATGTTCATTATATTTTTTGCGTATTTTTTTACAACGGAATACATTTCAATCAATACCCTCAATCAGAGTCGAATGATAGTATGTGGAATTCGGATTTATTACCCCAAGGGGTGGTTCGGGTCACGGCAAGAGTTAGTGTCCCTACTTCGTTTCCCTCTTTTGCTTGCGGAAGACGGCGTCGCGTTAATTGAGAAATTAGTGAAGTTAATTAAGAAACCACACCCTAGCTGTCCTCCTAATTGCACTAACACTGAAGCTACCCTCTTTTTCTCAACGTTTCTTTTTTTTCTCAACGTTTCCACCCGTGGAATCTTCATCTACTGATTTGCATGTCTTTGCGAAGTTTTCTACCTTGGAAATCCGAATCGGTGTTCGTTCACCCGTCTTATTGATCTACCAAAATTTTACGTTAGAGTTCCTAATAGAGTTGACAATTAAACATCATTGCATTTATGCATTTTTAATTTATTTATGATTTTTAATGATTTATGCGTTTTTAATATCTTTAGGCAGAGTTGAAAAAGAAATAGCTAGTGTTAATCGGCCGATGTGCATTTTCTTGAAATTATCTAAGAGGCGTGGCAAGACAAGTGTTGCAAACAGGTGTGGCACGCGTTGGTAAAGGACACTTTCGAGCAAACACGCTTGACA